TTAGTATTATAAGTTTAACTAGAAATAAAATAAGAATATTTGAAGTTGAAGCTATTAATTACTTTTTCAAATTTGATAAAGTATGAATAAGTTGAAAATAATTGACAAATTCTTTAAAAGAAAATACACAAATCGTTCAAATGATTCTTCTATACTTGAACCATCAAGTGTTAATGCTTCAACTCATGAATAAAAACAATATGAATCAAAATGCTTAATACTCAATCTTAAAGAAATAAGTGTTTCTTAATATATAGTTTTTAATTGAAGAAATTGAATTCAAAAATTATAGTCAAATACAATTTTCATAAAAGGTTATTGTAAGTCATTTTTTTTCTTGTTTTACGTGTTATATAAAATTATTTTATATTATCAAATTTTGATTATTGGTAATATATTAGTTTTTAAAATTTTTAACTTTTATTTTTGTATCTTCGATCCCTCCAATAAAAATTGATTAACTCCACCTCTAACTCTATATGATATATAAAAAAAATATACTTAACAGGTTCAGTCTAAGATGCTTATTTTTTTCATCATCTCCAATATTAGTTTTTTTTTTTTTGTGTAAATGAAGATAGGATGACCAAACTGATATCAAACTATTGTTACAGCTGCCTGTATATTGTATCAGTAACTTTCGGCTTGTGGGTCGGCAAGGGCGAAGCTAGCTAATTTTTATTGGGGGGGCTAAATGTTAAGAAGAATAAAATTAAAAATTTTTAAAACTAATATATTGAACTTAACCATTAATAATCAAAAGATTTATAATAGACAATAATTTTATATAACATGTAAATCAAAAGAAACAAAAAGAAAAAACTTATAATAGTATTTTATAAAAGTTTTATTTGACATGACAATATCTTTTTTAATATGAATAATTAAATTATTTGTAAGAAACTTATCATTTATTTTGTTTCGAAATCTTGTCTTTCTCAATATAATCAACTAAAAAATTAATGTAGTCAACATCAATATTTTTATTTTATTATATTTAAATTTATAACACCAAATATTAAACTTAATACATAAAATAGAAATAGTTAAATATGATATACAGAATTAATAATTTCTGCTTATATTCTAGATAATTTTCTTTCAACTAAATATAAAATATAAAGCACATTAAAAATATATACTCGAGATAATTTTTTTATATAATTAGGATTAATAAAAAATAATATATTAGTGAAATTTTAAATAACAATCAATAAAGTAATACTAGAATTTATATTTGAGAATTACATATATAACAATTTTTTAAAAAATTAAAATTATTAAAAATAAAATCCACATAACAGAAAAAAAAATCATGGTAAATAGAAGATATAACCTATATAACAAAAAATAATATGGTTGATGATTCATATAAATTTTAAAAAAAATTATAGAAACTTAAAATATATGTGTAAATAGAATATAATTGAAAAACATAAATAATAATAATAATATAAATAAAAAATTAAATAAAAATTTGACCTTTTATAATTTCACAATACAAGAACATAAAAAAAAAGAGAGAAAGATGGGTAGAAAAACTTAAAAATTTAAAAAACAATTTAAAAATTTGAATAAAATTAAATGGAGTTTGTAAAGTCATTTTAATAATTTTTTAATTATATTAATTATTTAATAAAAAATTATTTTAAAAATATATAATATAAAAAAAATTTAAAAATCTTGAAGGGCCATGGCCCGCCCATTACAAAGGGACGCTCCGCCCCTGTGGGTCGGAGCAAGGCATCTTAAAGATAAGTAAATAAAAACCATGTGACTCGAAATGATGGTTTGGAGTTTAGGTGGTCAGCTTGCATCATGGAACGTTTCATGTTGCTTCCGACAAACAAAGATGCTTTGGCTAACATTGAGAGTGGGATGCGACATGATGGAAACAGTAATCTTAGCTGAAAATTATTAATTTTGCCTGTTTTTGTAGTGGGATTCAAAAACTGGGCACACCCATGGCCGCGGCGGCCCCCAGCCCAGCATGCAACAAATCCCAAAAAAATCAGTGAGGATTGACTAAGTCCACTATCCCCAAGTGTAGAAGATGTATTAGTTAAAACCATCCAAAGAAAAATGAAAAGCGAAACATCCAGTCTTAAACGTCAACCTACACATTGTGGTGGTTGACGCAATAATTTGATGAGAATCACGTTTAACTTCAGAAATGGAAATTACAGTTCGAAATGATCATCTCCAATTCTCCATCACTCAGCTCAACTATACAAAGATTTATTGGAGAAAACTATGTGTAAAAAGTCCAAGGAAATCTACTAGGATTATTTAAATACAATTATCAGGCTCTATTCTTTTTCATTAAGCAATCACCCTGCCAGTGAATTTGATGAACAATGCTCATTAATTGTTTTCTAAGTAGTTGCACATTTGTTTATCTACATTTGTGCGTGTGTACATCCAAAATGATTATTACTGTTGCACATCCAAAAATTATTAATTATCAATATAAAGTTTTGAAATAATTAATCTTGCAATGATGTCTCTAAAAATATCTAAACCAAAACCACGGCTGGCCCTTGAGTAAGGCACCCAAGCAAGGGTTCTAACTCTCAAATTTAGAGATTTTATATTTTTATAATAATAATAATATAATTAATTATATTAAAGTTATATAAAAATTAAGATAATTAATAAAATATTTACCTATTCTCTAGTGCCTAACTAAATATTTATTTTCTCTCACCTCCTCATCTATATTAATTCTCAACTAATTATCTCATTTCCTATTAAAAATAAGTAAAAGTCAAAGATAATTAATAAATAACATATTCTTTCATTTTTCTAATTATGTGCTTAATAAATATCTATTTTTTATTACTTCCTAATTTCTGCTATTAATTCTCAACTATTTTTCTTATTTAATATTTCCAGCACTTAGTTTTTCTTATATAAAATCGATTTTTTTTCAATTTATAATATTCACTTTTGAATTCTTTTTTCTTCATTTTCTCTTTCTTCCTTTAACTTTAACTTTCTTCCAAAAAATACTTAGGAAGTTTGTTATGTTATAATCTTTATAAAACCGTGAGCATCATTTGCGATTTGTAACAAACAATCAACAATTAGGTATTATTATTTTAATCTTTATATACTTTTTTATTTTAATTTAGAGTTTATCTTATATTATTAAATTATTTTTATTTTATGTGATAGTTGATATATTTGAATTATGTTGATTTTATATTAACTATTTAAAAATATCAGATAATTGTAATAGTAAAATATTTTTTGTACTTCATAATATATAATTTGAATATGTCAAATCTAAAATATGAATCTGGTTATTTAAAAACTTTAAAAGAAAAGAAAAATTGAAAGTTTAATATAATCTCAAAAGAGCACTTGATAAATTTTTTACAAGTAATAAAAATAGTTAATAAGAAATTGTTAATGATTCAAAAATTATTAAAAAAATATTAAAACTTATTATAAAAGTTTAATTGAAAATTTTACATCTCAAGAAGTTAAAAGAAAATTTTTTTTTCTAATTTCAATAAAAAAGTTTTATTGAAATATTTCGTTTATAAACCTTTGAAGTTATTAAGTCCATTAGCAAAACCCTCCTGTATTTATCTATTCATAATCTCACACTTGTCTTATTAAGTCACACATCAATTTCAACTTTTCAAGTCATTGCCTTTGTTGATGATAAACACAAGGTGACTATTTCATGCACTCGCAAATGAAATGGCAGTTACTAGTCATCATCTAACTGGCGGCTCAAGTCCCTTTTTCTATTTCTCTTTGGGTCCCCTCTTTGTTTTTCTATATGTTTGGGCGGAGTAAATACTGCTGAAAGGTGGGATATGTATAGTTGCACAGTTTCACCAACTTCCAAGTACCATGGGCTACCCACTGATCCCCCCCCCCCCCCCCCCCCCCCCCCCCAACACACACACATATATAAAATTATAAAACTGATATTATTTCAATAAAATTAATATGAAGAAACTTTTCTTTTATATGTATATAAATATCCATCCTTTGCTTATTGAAATTAAATATTAGTACAACTTTATAAAAAAACAAAATTGAAGAATACAGGAACATAATTCCAACAACAAAAGCAAAACTAGTTGAGTTCACATTCAGTCGAAAAGGTTAACAGATAATAGAACTTATATTGTCCGGTTCTAGCCATTTATCAATTGAGAGAAGCTGGCCTTTTCATCTAATTGTGAGGAAAAGTGGAAAATAATACTACTACTATTAGTGTTTTAAAATTAAAATAATAATAATAATAATAATATTATTATTATTAATTTTTAAAGTAAAATACTCTATTTTTAACTTTTAACTATAATTCTATATAAATTTATTAATTTTTAAAATAATCAGTTCTCTCCAAATGTGTAAACGACATTAATGAATAAATGTGAAATATCAAAATTACCTTTCTTCTTTCTTCATTCTTTTTCACTATTTTTTTTAGGCTCACTGGTAGCGCTCCTCTTACATTGGCCAGTCACACTTGTGCTCCCTAGCCATGCCCCCCACCCCTGCGCCCCCTTGCCCCACGCTCCCCTGGGAGCATGAGTGCAAGGGAAGGAGATCCATTTGAAGTCAGATTTGGCACTCCCCGACTAGAGCCGAATCTAGCACTTGGACCGCAGCAAGAGGTGAGATTTTTTTTTTTTTAAATAGGAAAAAATTTAAAATGAAAAATTTTAATTTATATAGTGTGTTAGTTTTTCAAAATAATGATGAGTAAAATTATCCTCCCAATATTACCACATCATCAAATTAATGAAAATATTAACTGTTAATTAAAGATTAAACTTATGTATTCAATAAAAGATATTTTTTTAAAACAGATTATTTATTTAAAAAATTAATAAATTCGTGTGAAATTATGATTAAATGCTAGGGGTTAAAGGTATTTTATCCTAATTTCTAAGGTTGACAATTAGGTTAATTGTGGAGTATTTTTATGTCAAATTGGGCTTTATATATGAAAGGTGCATCACGATCATTGCTTAAGATTCGCCCTATTCAAGACTAAAGTGGCGGCATAACCACTGAGGATAGCTCTTCTTCTGCCTCCTTAGTTTCTCTCTTTTTCCTCCTCTCCCAACTCTGTTGGTGATTCTTCTCTCCATTAACGGCCTCTTTAACTTGAATCCGAATCTGGGTTCAATCCGTATTTGTCCTTTTGGTCCCCGTTTTTGATCGGGTTTCGGTCCTTTATGCATGATTTCAGTTTTAACTTGTTTGCTTTGTTCAAAATGAGTAACACATTGAGGCTAAGGGTAAAGGTCATGTTTTACTTGGTTTATGACAGAGGTTAGTTGTTTAAACTTTGAAACACGATCTCCGGCCTGTACATTAGTTCCAGGCATTCTTTTTCGTCGGCCAGTCTTTTCATGTTCATATACAGCTTCTTAAATAAAGGTGTTGTGTGTGGTTTTTGAGCCCAACATCTCTATTGTTTTCTCTTTTTTTTTTAAATATATTTCTTGTACAAGAGTTGATATAAATCACGCTACTAGTATTGAGACAAGCTCTGCTCATGGAGGTCGTGATCAAGGAAAAAGGCAAGAAGGGCAACCTGATCGTTAAGACTTGGGAGCGATGCAAATCCATTGGGCGTGCCCGTGCTCTTTCAAAGAAGAGCAAATCGTGGCCATCTATGGATGCCTCTCTCAAAGAAGAGAAACGCACCAGAAAGAATCGAGTGGCCCCCGAAGGCTGCTTCTCGGTCTATGTTGGACCACGGAGACAAAGATTCGTCATCAAAACCGAGTACGCAAACCACCCGCTTTTTAAGATTCTGCTTGAAGAAGCCGAGTCAGAATACGGATTCAACAGCGAAGGACCCCTGGTGCTTCCATGCAACGTTGATTTGTTTTGCAAGGTGTTACTGGCTATGGACGATGGCGACAATCAGATCCGCCAGGGATGTAGCTTCGCCAAAGGTTATGGCTCGTATCGCCTCCTCAGCCCACCTCGGATGATCGCGATAAATCAGTTCTAATTACTACTAGTTTATGTTTCATTTTTACTTGTGTGTTCTCTGTCATGTCTCGCTGTTAAGATTCCGTCTGGATTGTGTATTTGATATGTTTTGGAAAAAGCTTGTAATAATTAATTATCATGTTAAAGTAGTAGAGTTAAAACTTAAAAGTTAGACATAGATCCTCGTCCCAACTCCCAAGCTGCCACTGCAAGATTGCTTTTTCTATCTACTCTTATCACGAAACTTTGCTGTTTGACTATGTCAAGCTTGATATATATTGGTTTGCTTAAAGGGATCTTCGAATCAAGAGATGGCTGCTAGATAGGTGATCTATCTAGTTCGATTTTATCCTAAGTCTCTAATAGTAAAAAAACCAATAGTCATACGTTCGTGACTGATTACAATAATATGTACAAGTTGCTAGAACTATTTTTATTATTAATAACGATTATATAAAGTCAAATAGTCGTCTTTGGAGGTGTGCTGGCTAGCGTGGCGTATGACAGAGGCTCAAGAGAGAAAAATTTTAACTCCATTTTAAATTTATAATTATACTATTACCGATAAGATCAAGTTCTACATTATATCTTTGCTTAAATCACATGAAATGAGAATATAATTAAGAGGCACAATAAAGCAAGTGGAAAGCATCCAATTTACTGAAATTTTATTAACTACGTACTCTATGTGTGTGGTTGAATAATTATATATGCATTAATTAAGCAAAAAAGAAAAAGAAAGAAAGAGTTCTTTTAATCTTATAATAAAAGTTACAATATTATCGAGAATTAATATAATGCACTTAAGCTTTGTACAATAGTATACATAAAACTAGAAACATAGATAGCAGATGTAGCTAGATTTTTCAATCTATATGATATCAATCTATATAAATACCGAGGGGACTATTAAAAATTAAAAACTTGGCAAATTAAAATAGGCAATGATAGGAAATATTGGACCACTTCGTGCTGGCCTTTATGTACGTGTCTCATTTGACTTTGAGTTATTAAACTTTGTTTGACCTAGAAGTTACGATTCATTAATTAAAATGGCTACACCTAACCATTCCATTTAAATACTAATACTTATAGTAGAATTTTCTACATAATTTTTTCATTTTTGATTACTTCACCACCGTATAATTAATTATTTCTCGGTTGCCCTTAGGGATGGATTAGGATTGATCTTCAATGGAGTAAATGTTCACATTAAAATAAAGTTTAAAAAATAAAAAAAAAGTTTATGTTTAGTTATAACTTAACTAAAATAAAATAAATTGAAAAAATTCTTTTAACTTACGGGCATTCCTTTTTTCTCTCATTTTAATATTGACAAAAGATCATACATTTTGGGAAAACAAAATCAAGAAACATACGATCAAATAATTTTACTTCTTAGACTCGATTAATATATTTAAATAATTCTCTCAAAATGGGTATAGCTTATACTACTAAAGTATCTATATTTACTTTCTTCTTCAATTAGAGTAGGCGCAAACGTTATTCAACAAAAAAAAAGTAGGCACAGAAGTATAACATTATAAACTTTTTAACATCATTTTTCAACAAATATTAATTAGTATTGCTCATAATTCCAATCATCCAATCAGAACAATTCCTCTCACTAGCTTACATATAGATCTGTCCCAGTTGCTTCTTCTTTTCTTCTATCATTTAGTACATTTTTTTTTCGTTGCTTAGGCTTTGTAACAAAATATGCATTGCTTATGCTAATGCATTCGAGTTAGACAAGTAAAAGTTAGCTTCTTTTTTTTTTGCATTTATGTGGTTGTTAATTAGTGAATACTAACAGTTTTTTACCTACTTATTTTGATGCCAAAAAATTAATTCACTCAACTTTTTAAGGTTTGTTTTACTCGATTGGAAGTTTTATAAGGAATGTTATTCAAGTAGAACTGTTTTAAAAGTATTGTAAAAAAAAAACTAAAATAATTGCAGAATTGTTCTAGAAAGTAAAACACTATTTCTTAGTATTTTTGTAATTTTTAACAAATGAAAAAAAAAACATAATTTTATTTAATTAAACTATAAGTTTTTAGGTGAAAATAATAGATAAAACAAATAAGTGTTTTTGTTAATTGAAAAAATGAATGACATCAATAAGAAATTTGAGCCAAATAAACAAGATGAATGTGAAATAATATAAATTTTTTTTATAATTTTATGTATTGTTAAAAGGTAAAGTGAAAATATAAAAAATTATTAAATAATTGTTGTTATACGTTAACTATTTTTGGAAAAAAAATTGATTTATAACTTCGTACAAAAAAACCCCAATCGGCTTCCTTATATAAGCTAAAAACTTTTAAAACTTCGAAAGTCAAACACCTATACTTCTAATTTTGCAGCAAAAACAGTTTTCATAAACTGGGCCAAACACTGCTTTACTATTTTTCTTTCAAATTTTACATTTAGTGGAGTTTTCGCTTAAGAAAAGAAGTCAAAGTAATAGCAATTAGTTAAAGTAAAATTCCATGAAAACCTTTCATCTAATGCTCCATAATTGTTCTTTCATTATTGTTGTCAAAAATCGAAAAGATGGTAACTATACCTATGTGACATAATTTTGTTTTTAAATACAGCTCCTATCACTAAACTATGAAGCTATTGGCACGAATTTAGATACCATGCCATCTAAATTACATGGAAAACAAAAAGCGTTGGATTGATTGGGATTACAATCGAAGTCAATAATGCTCTAAACATCGTAAGATTTCTTAATCAAATTGATTTAGGCCTCTCCTGCTTGCACCAAACTCAATTATTTGTTTGACTACAAAAAGTTGCCCTATGCCTTAGTGCTCCAAGTCGCATTCGTCAATTGGAAAGTTTTGAAAAAGGTTTAACTTTATAAAACAAGGATAAATTCAATGAATTAAGCCTATAACTAGTCATGTTTTTCTTTTGTCGTTGAACCATTCCGTCTGATTTTCAAGGCCGCCACAAATGGGATTCACATTTGTGAGAAGACGTATTCTTAATACTTATCTTAGGTTCTATTGGATGAAGTAATAAACCTTGTAGAAGTAGTTTCTTTTTCTTTTTCGTTAAAAGAGTTGTATAATTGTTTTTTTTTTTGGGTACAAGATTATAAAACAGCTAGAAGCAGAGTTTGAAGCTTGCAAGTTCCATTGGGTTAATTGAAAAGACAGCATGGCTGCAAAGTGTCTTTGAAATAAATATTCATATCGCAGGTGTGTAAGTCATCTCATAGATTTGAGATCATGTGATTATTGTTGGAAATTATTGTTGTTTAATTTTTTACTCATGCAAATATACATATAGTAAAGATAATAAAGTGATTAGTAAATTATTGATCTCACAGAGAATTAAATTAATTCTTACTGTTAACTATTAAAATTTACACACTTTAATTTTTTTAAACAATTAAAATTAAAATTAAATCAAATAAACGAATAACTAAAACTAATCCAAAATATATCAACAAAATTATTTTACTAACTTCTAGTGATTACCAAACCTAAGATTATAATATCTCTCAATACTACATCCGAATATTGTCTCTTTTTGATAACTCAATTTAATGGATATTAAATGTTAACCTAAAGTTCGAAATTATTTACAAGTCTTTGTTGAGTTTTTCATAAAAATATCTCTCTCAATTAATTTACTATATGTCTATGCAAATTAAACTAAAGATAGATTCATTAATTTCGTGTTTTAATTTTGACTACATATGGCTTATAGGTGTATGTCTATCCTATATGCAAACTAAATCATCTAATCAACTGAGTGCATTCGATCATACCCTATTCTATTCAAGGTCTACTTAAATCTCCTTCGTTAAAGTTTAATCTAGGTTTTAAATTTAATATAATTGGTGATCAAGCAATTTGAAGCGTTAAGAGCATAATAAAATAAACAATTTAAATCTATCAAACATAAGTAAAAAAGAGATAAATAAATCAGACTATGTATTGAGTTCAATCATAATCTTAAATTAATAATTTAGTTCCCTTTCAAGTCACACTTCATCATCAAATAAAATTTAAACATTAAAAACAAAACCAAGAAAATAAGAGAATAACAAAAAGATAGAAAAATCCAAGAATTGTATTCTTGATCTCCAAATCTCCTTGGATCTTTCAAATTTTTCTTAGCTTCAATGACTTTACGGCTTAACTCTTAGCTATCAATTTGGTATTTTGTTCCCGCCTTAAATGTCCTTTCAAAGGTTGTTGTTATAGGGCTTTAAAGTTAGACCAAGTTAGGTGAAGCGAGAAGTCAATTCCAATTAAGATTTCCTCATTAGACTACATGGGCTGCAACCTGCTACCTCCAAAGCCGCGGCTTGGACCATTTAAATAGCAGAAACAGTAATTGCTCTAGGACTACTACAGTGTTCCAATTTCGACAAGATTTTTGACCACCTTCCACACCGAATTGGTAAAATAGTCAAACAAAAGTTATAGCTTTTTCTCTTAACTTTCCAATAGTTTAAGAATTGCTTCATTTCAAGCCCTGTAGAGAAAGTTATGGCCAAAATACCGAAACATATACAGTGGAAGTCTTCACCTTGGAATTGCTCTTCTTCTTCCCCTAAAATTCTTCTTTCATTAAATACCTACAAAAGCACAAATAAATTAATAACAACCTATCTTAATCACATTAACACCAAATTAATCATAAAATTAACTAAGATTAGATTGACTCACCTAAATGAACTAATATAAAATAATTAAATAAAACTTATTAATTTCTATGCATTACAACAAGAACTATGTTAAATTACTATCAAAATTAAGCTCAAATAACTCTATATTATAAAATTATCAACGACATGATCAGATTAAATGTAATAGAATGAAACAAAAAAAATTGTAAAAGAATAGCAAAAACAAGTTGCACCTACCATGTGTCTCCTTAGTGATTTTCATACAAACAAAACCAAAAGAGAGAAATAATAAGAAAAAAATAAGATTACCTTTACCAAGTGATGTAGCTATCATGATAGTAAGTCTTCCTTATCCAACTTGTGAACACAACAAAGGGAGCAAGGAACCCGAGCCACTCAAATATTTGGCATCTAACGATTACACACGGTTGCACTTGAACCTTCAAAAGGAGTGAGCTTTCTTAACTATACCTTTGTGTTAGCAAGGTGGACAACAACTTATCCTCTACACACAATCG